CTTGTATCTTGAGAGCCTGGGAGGCATATTGAGCCCTGTTTGTTTTAAACTCTCTGAACTGCTGTTGTCCGGTCCCCGGCGCATCCATAACTCGTTAAACTGTGAGGGAATTAATAGGGAAGGGAGGTGGGGGTGCCTTAGCAATGCTATACCATCCCCAGTTGCGACCTTATGAGAGGGCAGTTTGCCACTTGCCAACTCGGGGGTTGGCATCACTAGTGTCCCGGTCGGTATTATGCATGTGCTGCCAGTGCTGACGTCTCGGGAGTCGCGGTGCCGACAAAGTGGCAGCCAGGATGTCCCAACACCAATCTGGTATCTATGAACAACCGCAGGCTCGGGTCGGTGGTGATGATTCACGGTCCACAAGCATGGCTCTAACACATTTTGGTTAGGGAGCAGGAGTTAAGGCTTTTGCGCCTGTGCCAAGGTTGTCGGCACGACACCACGTGGGCTTCTCTAGGCCACTACAGAGTTCCCAGGCTTTCCAACCCTCCTTTTATACAGTGATCAGAACAAATTATGCATTGCACGCCATTTGTGTCTTGAACATCTCAAACCGTCCTGTACCACGGGCTTGTTGCACACCCTGGCCTGGGGGGGTTGTTCTAGTCTTATCAGGCAGGCACTGGATGATCCTACAGCTTGTACAGCCATCTCCTCCTGTCTTCTGGCAGGAGTGTCCGTTCGACCCACAGGCCAAGTTTTGCCTGCTCTGGTCAATGCTTTAACAAAGACCTTTTTTTTTTGCAAGCAGTATATATTGATCATTGTTCTCGCGAAGGCAGCAGGATGCAGCAGGCATGGCTTTATTTCTGCTAAAATAACACGGTTGTTTATTAAATGGGTGGGGTGACACTTGTGCCTTGACTACTGCTTCTCAGCACTTGGAGTTTGAAAACCTGCTTCATGGTAAAAGGTCACCGTGCTCTTGTCGTGTAGTCACCGTCACAGTATTGGGAAGCCAGCGTGTTTGGGGCTTGGGCGGTCTTTGGCTGAGGGGGTTGTTTGCTATTTCGGTAACATTTTCCTTGTTGGCGGGTGCACGAGGACACCCAGAAACAC